TTCTTGATTTTGTGCACAAGAGTTTGACGATCGCGACCGGAGACAGCAGTTTGGAGCATCATGATAATTGAAGTAGTACAGTTGTAGCGATCCTCACGTAATTGTAAATGAATCACCCTATAAAAACACCTATGTTGATACGTACAGAGATGTACAAAACATCTACTTTGTGGGGTTGGACCTTTGGATCAAATCTGCCAAATCAGGGTCAGACCCACCAAGAGTCTCATCCGCACCGTGCTCCGCATCCGCATCCGCGCCAAGGCTCGCATCATCCATTGGCAGTTTGGAACTCGCATCCCTGTGGTGCGATTTCTGGGGCTCCACACCCGAGCGCTCTACGCGCACCTGGGCGATGTGTGTGTTTATGTTTCTGCGGATCAGATGGCTGCTTTTGGCTTCCGAAATGGGATGGTTGGTAGGTTGGAGGTGGGCTTTTATGTGTTCCTTTTTTAGTTTGTGGTTTCACCCAAGTCATTGGGCGCTGTTTCAATCAAGACACTGAGGCGCTCCGACTCCTACTGTATATAGACGTGTCCAGAGGACTGAGATTGTTTTCTGGATTAATATCAAGAAGTATCAAGATATTATCATTATATATCATTATTATAGACTAACCAAGATATATAATTAGATGTCATTGATATGTTTGATACTTGTTTATTGGATTGAGACGAGTCTACGGCGCGGAGTAGCCTTGGTGACGACCCTGTGTCCTTCCTCCAAGCAACATACAAGGCTCAACTCAGGGGTAGAGTTAGCTCTGCAAAACGTGTTGTCTGTATTTTTGTGAGCGCTCAACATCTCTGTACTTGAGGATCGTTATAAACACATCCTAGTGGAGCCCGATGTATGAAGTCCATTTTGTGTGGGTCATTACAATCTACTGTACTGTGATCTACGGAGTGTACGGAAAGATACTCAAAGTACAACAACAATGGACGTCTACAGCACACCAAACAGCCCACAACAAATATATAAATCACTGGTATATCCCTGTTTAATCCTCTTCACTATGTGTTTTTCATGTCAAACAGTTTAACATTACCTCTGCTTCAGAAATACTGATTTTCTCAAATTCACGACTGTGATTTGTGGCGTATTTGTGGGCTGCTATGTGCGAAACCGATTGCATGCAGATTACTAAGCTGACCCTGGTTGAAATGAATCTAAGAAAACCTATTGCAACCTTTAGACATCTGATTGCTCATCTTCAACTCCAGTTCCTCAGATCGCCCAAGACCTGTGGATCCAACACCGAGACCTGTGCGCAACGACTCCGTGCTGGTGAGCCGCTTCGGCACCAGCGGCGCCCTCTCGGAGCGGGGGGGGTTCTGTGATTTGCATTTTTGTGCAAATAAGTTTTTCCGAACTGGGTGAATGATGGCGAATCCCCTTCGGAATATGCTTTGCACTTGTTTATGTTTTGGTCGTTTTCTTGAGCGAAGGATTTGATGGTCCCGGCAAACTGGCCCCGGTGTATAGGAAGACTGCGTTGTCCTACATACGGAGGTGAAACACGGTGAAGCACAAGCGAGTCGGTATCTTCTTTTTAGATGGTTTAGACGGTACGTTTTATTGTACAAACCACTGTCAGGTCAGTATAATACAAACTTTGGACCTTGATGTATACAGCACTGCAAGTATTGTTCAACTTGGTAGTGACAAGAACATACAAGAACTAAGCTCGTTCCACTTGATAGTTCTGAGTGGTGGTGGGTGAGAACAATGAAAGACGAGTGAATGGAGGAGGAAAGCTGTTAAACTATTTGTGTCTTGTCTTGGGATTTCAGACGCCCAGGAGTTTCATGATGGATCGCATGTACTCTTGTTGAGGTCACAATAAGATGTGCACCTGTTTCCATACCTTTCTAACAGAGGTGTGGCTTCACAACCCATGGCCACTGAGGGTCTTCTGTTTTTCAACGGAAGACGGTATGCTCAGTATGCTCGGTGCAGTCGTTCCGTGGGGCTCGGTTCGCACTCAAAAACATGCAGTTCCGATGAGCAGGAAGACAGCCAATTCATCCAAGTAGCAGGGTTGGCTGGTATTTGCTGGTCAGATCGGAGGTGTTGCCGGATTCACAGCTCAAGTCTGCAGGAGTGCATGTTCGACCGTTTTGCTGCCATCAACCAGCACTGGACCGGGCACCCAGCGCTGTCGCCGCTGTCGCCCCAGCAGCGGTGCTCGGTCGATTCATTTGTCGCCCCAGCAGCTTTTGAGTCGTCCAAAGGTCTTCCTAAGAATTGTTGGTGCATGGCGATCCACGCGGATCATGGCTCTAAAAAGCGCTTTTGGATGCTTTCGGTCAAAGACGAAGAATGCAGCCCCCAAACAAAATACACCAACCGATCGGAGTGGGTGTGTGTGTATGTTTTATGTCTTTTCGTCACACCAGGGGTTCCATCAGGATCACTGCCCATGATTCCGCAGGTTTCCTCTTCGTTTCGTCCAGATGGAGTGGGTTCTCTTCGACGACTACATGGTGATTTGGCAAAATTTCCTACACCCGGCTGTGCGTTTCCAATATAGCAACGCCCAAGTCAGGATGGCTAGCCATTGAATAAGTTTTTTGCTGTATATTCAATGTGGAGAGGTAAAGAGGCAAGCAATTGTTTCATAGTACCACTATGTCACTATGTACCACTGCTTCCTTGCTTGCACATGCTATTTGCTTGTGGCGTTAAAGTTAGTTTTTGTCAGCGGGATATTGATATCCTGCAAGGAACCTTCCCTTGGTCATAAGGAGCATTGTTTTCTTCCTCAATGTGCAGGTCGCACAGTTGGTTATGAGTGTGAGTTTGCGCCCGATCAGTTCAGTAAAAGCACCACACCAAAAACAGTACGATTCCGGATTTCGGACGATGTTCTTTTTTGTTCAAGACTTATGGCATTCTTTAACTTCAGGGTTTGACATTCTGACATTGTTTGTGCCTGAACATTAAAAGAAGAGGATATGAAGGCTCAAAGAACCCAACTATACACCCCAAACTACCCTACTTGTGCATGCCCACTGGAGACCACAGTTTATGACAAAGGCATCTCCCTTAACACCTGAAGTGAGACACACACACACACTATCGTTACGCATACCAGGGTTCCCACCAAGGGAGAAGTAAAACGGATCGTCTCATTGAATTAAATTTGGGTCCTCCAGAGAGAGAAGAGGAAGTTGCGATCGCCATCGCTGAACACATCGCTTCGGGCATCGGATCTACTCTCCCAGGTGGTTCCAAGGGACCATTTTCCATCCACGGATGCCCGACCATGTTAGTTCTGTGGGTCCTGTACCGTTTGGGTCGTTCATGGTCGTCCGGAGACATCGTCCTCGGCGCCGCTCGACTGGCTCTTTTGGCTCGATATCCAGTCCATGAGACTTCGAGTCCTGGCGCGTCAGCTGGAGATGTCGCTGACCGAAGAAGCGCTGTGTGCCGAACCCTACGGCCAGGCCGGTGGAACGTTGACCACATGGGACATGTGGATGAAATTGGCCATTCAGGCACTAGTTTGCGGTAGTGTCATGTCAGGCTTAGACTCCTTAGACATTCCCTTGCTGATCAACACTTAGATACTTTTGACTTGTGCATGTTTTGTTTATGTTTTTGCTGATGTGTTCCGTGTGTTTATTTTCTGCAGGGACATCTTTTTGCTGACGATCTTCCGCAAGCTTATCGGAGCAGCAGACTGCAGCAGCTCAATGATCTAGATGCCAGCCTCCCAGGCCGCTGTGGTAGCTGCAAGTTGCTGTGACTGATTCAGCCATCAAAGGCTGTGGGTCTCAACAGATCTTCAAAATGACAAGGACATGCAATGAGGGTACCACAAGCCTGGAACATCAGGCAGGAAGACAAAAATTGCCAATCCCCTTTCTCAGAGGTTTTATGTTTGAAATTGAAACGGAACGAAAAACACATTGATAGGGGGAATAGCGGCTATGTATGGCTATGTCCTTTCTCCGCAAAATTTATTGAATCTACAAAAAGACATATTTTTTTTTGTTGCACTTCATGGATCGAAAAGAACTGAGAACATCATATCAGCACAATTGGAATCGAGGATATTTCATGCAGCAGGTAATGCAGGCAATGTTTGGAAGACATGGATAGCTTTTCAGTGAAGCCATTGCGTCATACGCTTTTTGAAGGGCTTGTCACACAAAACTCTTCAGAATACTATCAACATAGACACACTGGAGAAATCCTGCCTTTCTGGCAGCGTAGTCCTTTGGGTAGCACGGCCAGTGAGAGTGAGTAGGAAAGAACGAGTTCAATATTGATTTGATTCTATAAGATCCTGCCAGCACTTGCCAACCATTTTTGGTTCTCTAAAGATTCTAAGAGCAGGAGATAGCAGGAGGGTGCAACACGGTTAAAGGTCTTCTCATTTGAGACATGTTGAGTTGCAGAAGTTCTGTGGTGCCAAGGAAGTTCCAGAACTCACAGGTGTCTCCATCAACTTGGAAGATGACCATAGCTTTTCACTAAGAAGCCACTGGTTTGTTTTTGGTGTTGTTAACTCATAATATGAGCAACCACTTTTATTTAGGCTTTCCTCATGTAGTCTACGGCATGCTCTATTTGCTTGTCTATCATCAGTATTCGCTTTTGAACGAGATAGTGCCCCCACATAAACGATATGTTTTTTCTTGATGACACTGAAGTAGTCTGAACGAGATAGTGTGATTTGCTTCTAAAGTAGTCTGAACGAGATACTGTGACATGACCTCCTACTTAAGCAGTCTAAACGAGATAGGGCCCTCACATAGTGTATGATAGTGTATTTGAGTTTAGTACCAAATAAATGCCGCCGTACATGGATGACTCTAGCATGGATGACTCTAGAGTGTTGGTTCTGACTCTCTGGACTTGATGCGAGAGCATGGTGTTGAGAAAAAAACATGTGAGTACTCATTCACCAACCATCACCAACCTGTGCGGAAGTGGCTGGTTCAGCCATGTGGTAGGGGTATGGTGAACTTCAATCTTGCAAGGAGACGGGTATGTCAGAGGTAGTGTCAGAGGTTTGTTGTCCATGTCAACTCAGAGCCTGCCGACCCTTGAGCTCCCCCCTCCGCGCCCCGTCAGGTGGTTTGAAGGGATACTTGGAGCGCGCGCGAAGGCTACTCAAGGATGCACAAGAAGGAGTCAATCCCTTCTCAGGCCTGGCTGTGCGGACTCGTGTGGATTGACTCAAGACCATCAGTTGACGATCTTGGCAAAGTTTCTGCGACGGAGAAAGCTGCACTGCCACTGAGGCCTGACGCCCCACGTACCGCAGGGTGCCAACTTGTCGGGCGCGAATGGCCCGGGCAGCGCGGCCTTCGCGGAGAGTGAGCGCTTAGGGATGAAAGAGCCACATGGCTAGCAATGCAGGGGAGACCCCCAAAACCTGAATATAGACACATAATGAAACAGATCGAAACATTGAAACAGCTCGCAAAAGTGAGTCATAACTCATAAATGCCCATAAGTGTTCCTCAGCAGAGGCCTTTTGCTCATTCTGAGGCAAATGCATCCATTTGTCAATTCCTCCATGATCCATCATGATCCATCCACTCTATGGCACTGGCATACCCTTTTGGGTCTTTTTCTTCTTTCCAACGGGTGAGTGTAGAATCACCCAGCCCCCTAGTTGTCCAAAACGTCATGACGTCCCAGGACCTGTGAGACGGGCCAGTTCCCCAAACGCGCCGGACGGCGCGGCGCGGAGGTTGGCGCGGACGCGTTTTGAGTGCTTTCAGGGATCTGGTGGGACGTGAGGTTGGCGAAGTGTGCCTTCTGCTTGGTCGCGGGTGGATTGGGTGAACGTCTCGGCTTCCCTGGCATCAAGCAGCGTGGTGGCAACATGGGTGTTTCGAAAACAGGCACCTGGGAGTTCGTGGCATTTCGGAAAACCCGGCGTGGGTGCACCGATTGGGGATAGAGCACATTGTATAAGTTTCGTTCATAGGGCTGTCATAGGGGCATCAATCATATACATACCACATACGAAGTAGTACCCCACCTGTATGTGAAACACTACGTATGTAGCATACATGCACATGTAGTTGCACCGTTTTTGCTACATACGGCTACACACCCCTCCTGGAGTTGACTGAGCCCTCAGAGCAACCCAACACCGGGATTGGTCTTCCACCTTGGGGGGGCTAACCAAGTATGTTCGGTACGAGTGCCCCTTGTTTGGGGTGTTCAAAAAGTCATAGTCCTTAGGGGGGCCCTGGTATAGACCCATCACATTGGACCCAGCCACCCTAGATTCGCCATGGACTCGTTTCTTGGAAGCCATGCCCTTCTTTGTTCTGGCCGGGTGGCGGTGTGACAAAGTTCTCACATGGTTGAACAGAAATGCTTGGACCAGCTTCTACAAAGTGGCCTTTTGGAGGTTCATAAATGACCCCCAATTGAGATGACCCCAGTGCCAATCTGAGATCTCAGTTTCTTCTTCACTTTGAAGAACCAGAGATGCCGGTGGGTGTTCGAAGGATGGGCTGGGGATGGCCGGTCCGAGTCCGTTCGCCCTGGCGCATGGACAGGACGGGACTGTATACTTCCGGTCCAAAAGGGTACAACCGAGGGTTCAGTCAACGACGCCCTCGTCGACTCGTTCGTTCCAAGGAACGCTTGTGACGTTCCGTGGACAAGAAGCCGTAAGACCGGACGTAGGAACAAGAAACCTGCTTCCTTAGTATGTTGACCTTGAAGCTTGTTTTTCAAAGCTCCGTCTGAGACCTGTGACGCACTGTGACGTGACGAACAACAAGTCGTTGGCCCAAGAGACGGCCTTTGATGTCCTTGAGGATTGGCATCATGTCTGACTCGATTACTGGAATGACGTTCCTGGAAGTCTACATCTCTTACATACAGGCCTGGAACCGGGGGCCCCTGATTCATTATCAATGTCTACGCGGAATTTTGGACATTACATATTATGACGAGTTTGCAAGCACTCTGGGCACATAATAATAGCTGAAAACACGCAGAGCTGGGTGTCGTTGCTGGATTTAGCAGGGGAATTGCCTAGGTTCACCTTTTGTAGTTATTTTGTCATTCTAAGAAATCTGACGCAAGTTCTTCAGGATAACGATCAATGAGGACCTGCCAGCGAAAGGTTTGTCGCACCACTTTGTTGTCCGCGCGTGACAGCCAGGCGTGCCAGCAATATGCGAGAAAAGAGACGGGGAAAGCAGACCTGCTACTACCCTTTGCTGCTTGGATGTTCTTTGCAAATGTTAATGTTGCATTGCGTGTCCAAATGTTTCCACTCATGAGGACTCTACTTGTTGACTAGCGGCACTAGTGGATGCCCAACCAAATGCCAATTAGGCAAGGAGACCTCCATATTGTTCTCAGGCGGGGAAGGAATCATGTTGTGAACAGCGGCTGATGGGATCCTTTGTCCATAGTAGTTGGCAGGGTTGCACAACAAAATCCAAGGAATTCACCAACCTTCTACCTTTGTCCTCGTTTGCACATGTTCAACTCCCATTGCCTGTAGATATGGGCCACACACATATTCTGATCCGACGTTGTGCTCGGGCAGATGCGATTTCTGACAATCCCCCATATATGAATTGTGTAAGCATGTTGTTATTTGTTTTGCGAACCTTGTGTTGATGCTATGTTTTTGTAAACACCGGACATTTAATTTAAGGCGATCATGACCTCGGGTGATACTCATCAACAAACAGTTGAGCTCATGATGCAGAACGCGGCTCGGCGTGATGTGTCGGCGTGATGCTCGGGCGACCCGCTGCAGTAGTTGATCGCTTTGTCTATGAATCAATAGTAGCATTAGCCCCTGTGTGATGTTGTATCATCCCAATTTGGGATGCATGCATTTCACCAGTGACAGTCGGTAAAATTGGATTATCACCTATTTGTTTGAGAAAGGCCTTTACTAACCATCATAATCCACTCTTACTGGTAATATGTCCAAGTTAAATCTTCTATAGTAACAGTAATATGTTCTGTATAATCAAACACGCATGTGTATCCCGTTTGGTAATGTTGACCCTGGATTTATAAACGCCCCTAGAATAATGACTTTTGTTTTTCCTGCACAGATTAATAAAGGCCCCCAGAATAATTTTTTTTGGGGGGGAGGGGTAGTTGTAGTGGGATATTCTTTATTGTTATAGTTTACTTTTTTACCTTTTGAGTTTGCTGGGATTTGCTTATCTTACAGGCTTTTGGATGGAGATTTGGAGATTTCTATTAAACATTTGGAGATGTCCATTGAGATGTCCATTTGTGGAATATTCCAGATGTCTTCAATCTGAGGTTCCATTGATCCTTTTTTCATTTTAATATTCCAGATGTCCTCTCATTTTAGTATTGCCAGAGTAGCTCCAGAGGTAGCTAAGTACGGATTCCTTATTTATTTATCAATTGATTGATTTTCCTATATATTATATTGTTGAGGGGGGGGGAGGGGGGGGAATTTAAATCAGGAGTCAACATTAGTTGGAGAACCTTTGCAGCATTGCCTGACCCAGGGTAGTAACTTATCAATGAATCCACTGGTAGTCGACATGGGGCATGCTCTTAGCCAAGCCCACCTCAACAAGCCAAGCTTTAGCCAAGCTAGCCGAGCTTTAAGCCGAGTCCTGGGTGCGGCTCCAAGCGCCACCCGAGCCCTCCAATCAAGGACTACTTCGGGATGAGCCCCAGCCAGGTGCGGGGTTTTTGCTGCATCGGCTGCCGGCGAGGTTTTGATTCTCTAATAGGAACAAGGTGGGCCAAACAAGTAGATCGCAAAGGCATGTCTTCAGATGTTTTTGTGAATTCAACCAACATGTCAAGACCTGTCTGTGGCTAAGCAAGTAGAGTGGTTGAGGAGGGTTCAAGGACATGCCGTCCAAGGACATGCCGTCCATACCTGCTGAAGCAAGATGGCCCGTTTGCAGAGAAGACTCCTTCAGATTCCATGTGAATGACCATTATCCCATAGGGTCCGGGTACCTTCGAATGGTCTTGGAGGTTACAGTTCATACTTCCAGAGATGGGGCCTTGCAGGACATCCAGCTCGGATGGTCCAAACCTTTGGGTGTTGTATCGACCCATATTCTCCCGAACAGATGAGGTGCACATCGTCAGGCAGGAGAAGGTGCCAGCGCTACTGGATGTGGATGCACGCATCGCCGCGCACGACGGCTTCATCGAGACAAAACCTCATGGCCATGGTACCTTGACAGAGAGGACATAGAGATGGGAGTGTCATTCCACCCTGGAGCTGGGTGTTCTTGACAAGTTTCCTCCTAAGACGTGGATTGACCGATTTTAGAGAGTGGTCGGGTAGGGTGGCTTTCCCGCAAGAGGACGTTTGTATCTTTTTCCCTCAACAAGACTGTTGTGGGGATTGAAAACCCTGAATCCTGTCAAAGAAGTAGGCTCTTTGGTGGAACACATATCAAGACATTCAATATTCAAGTCTGCCTTGTTTTACTCACCCCCCCCCAACAGGATGTGTATGGATGTGTTCCATTGTTCTTTTTTTTCCAAGACTGTCTCGGATGTTGATCTTGAATCTCCTTTCACCAACTTGGTGATCGGGATGACAAAGATCTTAAAGTTGCAGCTTAAATATGTAGTCCACGACCCAAGTATTGCCTGCTTTGTGGACCCTTTTGGACATGTGCAATTACCAGGTAGCTGGATTTGACTCGGAGTCGTCTCCGGACTCCTTGCAAGCTCTGCAAAAGCCCACACAAACATGTATACTCATTGGAGTCTCTGAGGTGATGTGCATGGCATTTTGCACCAACATGGCTTGTCAACACGATGGGCCGAAGAAGGCCGCCTGGCGAGTGGGTGGGACATGGTGGACCATGCGACCTGTCACACACTCAGTGTCATCCTGGTCACTTGCGGAGGATTTGGACTCTGACTCCAAAGGACCGCAGACCGGCCGGGACTCAGCGTGTCCGCGGGTCCGCGCGGTCACGCGCGCGGTCACGCGCGCCGTCAGAGCGTGACCACGGCCGGGTGGGCGCTGGTGTAGCCGAGGTCGAGAATGGCTCTTCATTTTCCAAGATACCAATCCTCTGAGTTTTCGAGCCTCGGAGCCGAAACCAACAGACGTCCGAGGATGTTTTTCGCCATGGAGTATCGTTTGGTGGAGAAACTTTTGACTACTGCGTGTTTTTGTTGCGTTTCTCGATTTAATTTTATTTTGTTTGTGTGTTTTTTGTTGGTTCGCGCAAGAAAAGGTTTGAGTTGGGATGGCTAAGCAAAAGATTTCATACTGAAGCAGTAGGCAGTGGCCTTGGGTCTTGACATGTTTTGACCCAGTCATTGAAGTTCTACAGGCAGCCGAGCCAAATCCGTAGCACTGATTCCCCAGCCTTGTTCAGCTCATCCAGACCCCTTGGTTGCACTGGACATACCTTCTGAGAAGGTAGGAAAGGAAATGCAACGTGGCTCCCCAAAAGGCTCTGTGGATCCCCTCCACCGCGCCAAATGGACAGTCCCGAGGAATTCTCTGCGCCACATTGGGCGTTTCGGCCAAAGAGGGCTACGTCATGAACAGTGTGGCCATCCCGCGGATACCCGGCGAAAACATCGGCGGGATCTGTCGACTGGTGGATGAGAAGGGCCACAGCTTGACGTTGAATGTTGCCTGGCTTTTTATTGAATGGTTGCATGTTGCTTTTGTTTCCCCTGCTCGCTTGCTCGCCGCAACAAAAACACATCTATACATGTTTTTTCTTGCAGTAGGTAGATTCTCGATGTTGTAGTGCATAGTACAACAATTGGTGAGGGTTCTGATCTTGATTTGAAGTGCAAATCTCAGGTGGAGTACAATCAGCTGGACCCTTTGTTGAAGGTAGGGTCTGGAAAAGAAGTAAGCACACATTGCTTCTTCCAAAGAGACATCAGCTCATGATGGTTCGGCTGCAACCTGATGCTTTAAATGACAAGAATCCATGTTCAAACCACAGATGAACGACGTTTCCACGTTCAATCCGGTTTTGAACCATCCTCCTTTGGAGGAGACTCCAACTGGTGGAGATGTGCCTGATGAGTCTGGCTTCTCGCCCTTCCCTGGAAACATCAACGTGCTTCTCTTCAATCTCCCCGCCTATGCGCGATGTCTTCAACAGACAGGTGGCGTGGTGCCTGAGTTTGTGAATCCCAAGTGGGCCAACAGCGAGAAGACAAAGCTGAAATCCTCCACGAGGCTGGAGAGCATGATGCAAGATTTTCCGCGACTTTGCCAACCAGGTGACTGGGTTTTGCTTAGGCGAGGTTCCGCTTATTCTGAAGTTGATTTTGTTGTCACTCCTTTTCAACCATTTTCTGAATGTGTATGGATGTTCCTTCCTGGGGAACATTGGGCAATCTGCAGTGTATAGATATGTGTACGATGATTTGTTGTTTTTGTGTTTTTTCTTTACTCCAGTGACCGTAGAGAAACATCCGACTCAGTTTATCAGGTGACAAGGTTGGGATGACACAGCTGGATCGTTGGATCGCCAAAACAACTGTCAAGAACAATCTGGAGGATGCGCGGAAGAAGGTTCCGCCTGAGTGTGCCCTCACAGCAGAGGCTGACATCTATGCATGCAATGCAAAGCTCTTGACGTGTCTTGGACAGGCGAATATGCGAGTCCTTTGAGAGCAGACAAAAGCTGTTCAAGTAGTCAGATCGAAACAAGGTTTTCCAAGTGAGACTTCTACTCCAGCAGGTGCTTCTACTCCGGTACTGTTTCAGAGGTTCAACCCCCCCACAGGCCCCACCGTTGATTTCTTTCCACATGTTCGACATTTTAGACAGATGGTCCACTTGTATCAGTGCCAGGTGTAGACGGTGTAGACCTAGAAAACTTCAGCAGCCCAGAAATTGAACACGTCCCTTGCGAGATGATAAAGGGAGGAAGCTGTCACCATGGTTTCATGTTTGTGTTTTTATCCCACTGCTGGGAGGTTCTATTTTGCAATCTTCGATCAACTAATCATGATTCTTCTATTCACCCACAGTTGTAGTTCTATGCCGATCTGTTTTGTTTTCCCGTTGGCTTTCTTCTGAGCCAGTCCCTCCTCCCTCAAACCTGCCTATCCAGCGGTCTACCTGCTCGGTGGAGCGAAACCGGTGAAGAAACACCGGAGTAGGCAAGCCGGGGTGTCCCGCAAGGCTACACACAACGGAGTCCTTTTTGCAAAACAACGGAGATCTTCTACGTACAACATTTGTTTTTCCATCTTAGTCTTAGTGCACAGTAATGTAATGTGTGATGTGTTGTTAAGTTAGAAGCACCTTCAAGAGCTGCAAAGCTCAAATCCCTTTCACCGCGGTTCTCAGGTTGGCCGGTGACGTGGTCATTGAAGAGCCAGAGGACGGGAAGACTCAGACTCTGGATGTGTGAAGACGTTTCCGCAGTTTTGAGGTGCAAGAGTTTGTTTATGCATGTTCTTGTGTTTGAGCTTGTTTTCATGGCACTCATTGTTTGGCGTGTTTGACAAACATCTACCAATCATTTATTAGAGTTTAGAGTTCACCAAACCGAAACCATGATAAACCATGAACTTCATGTAGACTCTTGATGAATCACCCCCCCTCGTTTGGAGTGTAAAACTTCTTCATGTGCTGGGGTTTCCTGACCAAGAGTCTACAATATATAACATGACTGTATCAAATGTGCAAGCTGAGCCACTCTGCTAAGTTGTGCCAGGAGGTCTCATTCTTGGGCATCAATGCTAAGCTAGGAGCGCAGAGCCTTGCCTTGTGTTTGGCATTGGGAGGTGACGATCATCCACATTCTTTCCCACCTAAAGAGATACAAGAGGTATATTATAAGTGGATAAGAAAGAATGCACAAGAGGGTCAAGAGGGAGAGGATCGTACATGGTTGTCGATCTAAAGGTCCTAGTCAGCAGTGTGTATGACGATGACCCGGAACATATCAAAATCTCATTTGGCGAAAGTTTTTTCTCGAGTTGGCGAAAGTAAATTTTTTTTTTGGCGAAAGATCTGGCGAAAGATTAAATATGTACTTTTGTATGAATGTTCATTTGCTTTCTGAACAGCTGGTGGCAGTGACTCAGAAGCTAGATAAGCTGTGGAAGTTAGATAACCTGCTGCTGCTGCGGCTGCTACTACTACTACTACTACGACTACCACTACCACGACCACGACCACGACCACGACCACTACCACTACGACTACTACTACTACTACTACTACTATTCCTGCTCCTGCTTTGGGGGGTGGCTTTGCCACAAAACTCTACCCCGCAAAAGGCGAAAGTTTGGCGAAAGTTCAGCTCAAGATTGGCGAAAGTTCACCCTGCCACATCTGACCCCCAGCCCATTATGAGTAAGTTTGAGTGACCGGCTACTACAGTGATTCTTGCAAATTTGATTCTTGCTGACACCCAGGAGAAACAAAAGAGACGTACTGGGTGTCAACAGTTAAGTAGAAGACACATGCTGACAAACAGTGAAGTTTCTATTTTGTGTTTGCCAGTAAAGAAGAAGCCATTGACGTGAACAAAACACAACATACATCGCACACATAAATACAACGTACTTCGGCGAAAGATAAAACGCAGGAAGGCGAAAGTTTGGCGAAAGTAATTTTTTTTTGGCGAAAATGACGGATCCCGGATAAAGGAATTTAGATCAACTCCCACATGTCAAAATTTTATTCTGCCAAGAGAGGACTGGAGCAGCATCATTTGTAAGACAGCTCTTTGCAACATAGAAATGCTTTCCAAACTTGGACATCCATGGAACATTGACAACCAGAGAGGGAGAGAGTTGCCAGTCTGTGCAGGAACGGTGACAAATTCTGGTTTGTCAGATGTTATGTATGTGTTGGGATGTGAATTCAGGTTCCGGCTTTCAGTCGCCGAGAGACTCCGCATGGTGCAGTCAGCAGAGTATGGCAATCTCAGCAAACTGAGTTGGTTACTTCTAAGCTTCACCACTCAAACGCTCTAAGTTTACTCAAACCGCGTCATCCACCCAGGATCATCATCAAGCCCTCCTTTGCGATTTGCTTGGAGCAACTGAAGAGCAAGATCAGAGGGACGTTCCGCAGCGGCAGATCTGGTTACACACCTTCAAGTTGAGAAACATTTTGAAACTGAGTGGTTTGCCGCTCATTTCCGTTTATATAAGTTGAGAGCCAAAAGAAGATCAGCAAAGTAACAAACGTATATATGCATGATAGTAGCATTTCATCAAAGCAAGATACTTTCACCAAGCTACAGCTCTCACCAAAGCAACAGCTCTCACCAAAGCAACAAGCTTACAACAAACCATTCAACAAGCCACAACAGCTTTCAACAACCAATACTATTTTGGTGGATGTTTCAGAAACAATTATTCCAGTGTGATTGACATTCAGCATCATACTCAGAACCCATGTCTCATGTCACAGGTGGTCCGAATATGCCTGAATAATTGGTTTGTTTATTATTCCAGGGGGCTGTAAGAGGGGGTCCTCTTAAGAAACCCCACATTGTGGTAATTCGTAGACCAGATGTGATTTGTCAAACGCGGAAACATCTACTGTATAAAGAATGTACACTGTTGATGAACAAACCCCGCAATGTGGAGATAAAATCATTCTGGTAGGGGAGTTTCAGCCGTCTACGTGAGGGTGCCTCATAAACAGCTGTACTGAGTTGTGCAGTTGTCACATTCTTTCAGCTGGTGCAGGACTGGCCACCAAGCCTAGACAGGTTCTTCCTGTGCCAAAAGGAGCCTGTTTTTTGGAGTGAACCACAGCGAGAAGGGTTTTGGAAGGGTTCTAGGGAGGGGGTGAAGTTCCACGCCTCCCGGGTGTGATGTTCTTTGTTTGGGCCACCTTGGCCGAACGGGGGGACGGTGGATGCAGTCTGTTTTAAGGATTCGCATCTCCAAGAAGTCGACCCTGATCCTGGAGGGCGATGCGGGACACCTCAGAGAGGAGTCCGGCGCGGGAGAGGAGTCCGGCTGGAGGAGCTGGGTGGTGTGCTGCGTTTTTCTCACAGTGCCTGCTGCTGGTCGGATGGTATCCATGTACTGTATTGGTTTGCCCAAAAGGTGTGTCAAAAGCAAAAAGACTCGATGGTTTGCTACGAGCTTGCAACGGGAAGGTCAGCAGAGCAGCAGAAAGAGTCCATTGCTACAAAGATCTTCACAGCATTACAAAGCATTGCCTTGCCTGGGCAGGTGTTTCCTGTTGCTTGGAGGGTGTCAACAGCCATTAATAGTCATCCTCAAGCAGACACGTAAATGATGCAAATGCTGTACCAGTGGGTACCTCACCTTTTTCACTTCTGGGAGGGTCTGGTGACATTTCCAGACCAATTCAAACACGGCCAAACCACCCTGCACCGGTCACGTCCGAGCTCTCGGTCCATCCGCTAGACCGCTCCGAGGTCTCGGTGGATGGCCTCCAGCTGAAGGGCGCACTGAGCCTCCGCGGTACTGGAAGCTTCGCAGGAGAGACGGGGAAACGCTCGAGAGAAAACGGGGAGAGACCGGCAGGAACAAGGGACGTAGACACCTGGCAGGACGTTCCATCGAGAACAAGGGTGTGGTGTTGGTGCCGATTCCTACGGACGAACTGCCAAAGTACCCGCCTTCCCTGCAGATTCGTGGGTATCTGGGCAATCGGTGGAGTGAAAACGTAGTAACCAGACTGACTATTGAATACGGAATTATTACAGGGTGCTGTTGGAGCGTCTCTCCGTCACGGAATTGATATCATAGATGTATGACAGCCGATCAACAACTGGACACTACTGTGTCACCCTCGCCCTGTTGAATTGCATCCTGGTCCAAAACCTTTTGACGGACCTGCTTGTTTGGGCAAAAGCTGATAAAATGCGGAAATATTAACGACACCCCTTGGTTTGGCTCAGCAAAATGGTCACACTACCAGCTGGGTGGTAGATTGCATGGTTTTTGAATTCGCTAAGCCGCTAATCATACGGCGACACTCACAACTCTCCAGTCGCAAGGGTTTCTCCCCAAAGCTTGCCCACGTCTCTTTCGCTGCTCAGGTACAAGAAAGAGACCTTCGAACAAGAAGATGTCAGTCTCACCTCCCGATCCGGTGGCTACTGATGGGCGGGGACTCTCCAGAGGAGGCCAGAAAAAAAGAGAAAGCTTTCACCCAAAGGTCCTGAGGATCCTTGGACCCTCCATAGCAGGGGTTTGTACCGAAACCAGACCCTATGTGTTGCTTCAGATCCGGAGTACAGTTCGTGGGGATTGTTGGTCATACGTGCACCCCCATCTTGCAGATTGGGGGTCCTTGTATGCTTGTAATCCGATCGCATTGGACAGGGGTACTTAGTTTCTTGGAATCTGGAGATCATGAATCAATGCTTTCTAACATTGCAGAAGCACAGCTTGAGGTTCAGTTTTCTTGCGCAGCTTCTGGCTCAGCTCGTTCTTGGGTATGGCTGTTGCTTGCATAGATAACTTTTTGGGAACACCCGTCCTTCCAGTGCGAAGCTTGCGCAGCCCTGCCAGGCCCTGCACGGGGTGCGGAGTCCACAGAGTGATCCGCCAGAACCCTGCGTGGCCTTGTCAATGGCAGGTCGCGGTTGCGGTTTGCGAGGCGACACGCAGGATCAGTGGCCTTAGCTTTTTTCGACGGGGTCGTAGGCATTGCCGTGTGGCTGTGGCTTCTTCCAGAGCTGAACTAACAAGAAGTGGAGCAAGTTCTTCAGGGAGACAGACATTGAATTCCGACCAGTTCGGAGGTCAAGTGATCCTTTGCATGAGCCTAATGAAAAGGCGATCGTCTTTGCAATGCTGAAAGCTGCAATGCATGATGTGGAATGTCTTGCGTTGCTTACAGTTGATGCAGGTTTTGTCAACACCATCCTTGAAGTGGAACAGTCAGGAATTCGAAGCTTTGTGTTTATCCCCCTTGGAAAGTTGCAAATCAGTCGAACGTATGAGGCTGCTGGTGTGCACGCAGTGATTTTAAAGTCCCAGAAGACTGCGGGTGGAAAAGTGATAGCTACTCTTCATGATGACGGGTCAGGTTCAGTTGAGCTTGCACCTGCTGCTTCCTCAAACAAGCTTGCACAGCATGCGTTTACCGCTCGTACAGATGCCGTTATATATTTTCTTAACAGCCTTGGCTTTGAAGCGCACGGTTATACAATTCAAAGCATTGCCAAATTCTGGTTCACAAACAATTTGGGCTCACTGGTTGTTTATCCTGCTGATTCGGGCCTTGCTGCAGTTCATGAAGTGATCAGTGAAGAACCAAGGACTTCTTTGTGGACTTCCTACTATGAGCTGGGCAAGCTTGCATTTTTTTTTACCACATTCTGCAGAGGGTAAAATGACCAAGAGCAAAATACAAACCTATGGAAATTCCGGCTCACATTCTATCTTCAGAGGTGGTGGCCCCTTCATCTTGTCAGATTCAGACCAGTTGGTGGAGCAGGTGCTGCGTCTTTTTGGATATTTAGACGATGAATTCAATGCGGACTTACGTGAGGCAATGTTATGCTTTGTGAATGCAAACGGAAACAAGAAAAAGCTGAAACGGAGAGGTATGCTGCCAGCTTTTGGAGAAACAAGTGTTGATGTCCAATCCAAGCTTCGCAGGGCTTTTCTTTCGCATGACTTTTCGGGCCAGTGGCAGCTGATGAACAAGAAGAGCACGGAAGCAATGAAGCCGCTTCAGCACATCATGAACAAAGCCGGGTTCCTGCAGTCGACAAAGAATACTGAATACTGCCATGTGGAGATCTTTGAAGCGATGCATGCATATATGCAGCAGGAAGGCTTGCCAAGCATGAACACCTTTAATGGCCGGGCTTGGAGAATTCTTCGTGCGAATCGAAGAAACCCGGACTGGACTGGAGATGTAGAATTTTGAAGCTTCGTGGAGATACACCGAAAGGGATCAAAATCAATTCCTGGCATATTGTTGAAAGCTCTCTTTAATTTGAATTGTTTGAGCGGATTGAGCCACAGTGAGTCAAGTTCCGATCTTCCTGTTTGTTGACCCCAAGTGCCAGACCAGCGAGAAAGCACGGAGGCCAAACAATGCTACAATGTTCGAGAACTCTGAATGCGCTCTTGGAAGAATACTTTCTTCTTGAAACAGGGGGGCTTTTCAAAGTTGTCGTTCTTCTGTCTGAGCCCTTCACAAAGTGTAGCCATTGCCTTCACACCAGAGTGGTCCTTTGAGATGTTCGACATTCCTGATCGACGGAAATCAACCATTTGGACGTTTGAGTTTCTCATTCTTTCTCACACATTTGAGAAGTTTAACATGTCTCAGGTGAGGACGCAAAACGTGGAATTGGAGAATGCCAAGACTTGGAAAGAACATACTCGAGAGATCAAGGCCCTTTGGATGTGTTGATTCTTTCTGACCCAGAGCCAGTGGAGCCATTGTTCAAAGCCTGGATACATGAGGTTGCACAGCGTTTGGACTTTGCAGCTGCTCTTGAGGAATCAGTCTTGGAACGAGAGGAATGGTGGGTGGTTGTCATACTTGATTAATGACGATGAATTCACTCGATTAAAGATAACTACTGTAAATATATTGATTTATATAGTGAATAAAAATCATTTGATGTGTCCTATTCCCAGACACCCCCATGAATATACTGTAAGGCACCCCCATATACTGTAGCTCGACCCCCTGGTGCAAGGAAACATCAACCAAACCCATTGGGCCAGTTGAGGACACTTCTCCCTATTCCAATATATACCGCGGCATTTGCTCAAAGGTCATCCATTCCTGATTACTGCGGACTGCTCTCTAACAAATTGGGAAGGAGCACTGTTGTTTTGCTCTCCCAACAACAGCTTTACTTTGTTTTCCTCAGACAACTCTCTAACAACAGCTTTGCTTTTGCTGCGCTTTCGAGCTGTTCTTTTGAGGTGCCTCATATGCCATACCAGAAGCTCACTTCTCATCGGGCAGCCGTGTGCTTGCCCTACGACACCACCATTTTTTCTCTTCAACGAGCTCTACGGAGTGCCCGACACGCACGAGAAGTGGCCTTGTTTTTGATTGTTTTTAAGGGGGAGGGGACGGGAGTGCATTCTGTCACAAACTCAATCATTGGGCTAGAACAATGGCGTGATCTAAATTTTTGTTTTTTTGATATTTTAGGGTAGATGCCACGTGTTTTTTTCCGATAAGATGTTGACGATCATTCTTTTGTTTGAAATTGTCGGATGCAAAACTCATACGCAAAGGAGAAAACTTGCCTGAGGCCAACATGCCAATCTTCGTGCCGAAGGACCTTTGGAGGTGGCTGATTGGTCCACACACCTTGCGCCAGATGGAGTTTCTTCATCATCCGAGCCACGCCAATTCAACTGAACCTCCTCCAGAGCCTTTGGCAGCAACTAGCTCAAACAGAAAAGGTATAGGCAAAGATGTGATGCAAGGGAAGCTTATGACGTACCTGGAAGGTCCCTTAACTTCATATTGATTGAATATGTTCAGAGCATTCTACTAGGTAGACATCTGATATCCTACTGATGGGGAAACCCAGGGTTTTGACAGAGATCCAGGCAGCCTGCAGATATCAGATCCAGTTTTGGATGTCTCAAGATGGAACCGAGCATGAAGCACTCCTAGTTATATACTAGTTGTGTATTTGCCTCACGAGTCATACTCAATGGGCTGTGAAGGGGAAATGTTATTTGTAGTAGAGCACAATTAGAACATACTATTGGGCTTTGGGTCTATAAGTGTTTCTTATTCCATGTTTTTTTCGGGAGAAACATCATTGCCTGAGATGCGCTTTTTCCCTTGGCCCAGGAACTATCTCCTTTCTTTGCATCGATACATCAGCCATTGGGTGTGGAGTACCTGGACGTGCTTGTCAATGGGAAGGGTCAGCTGCTAAAAGGACAACGAGGAGACTTAAGCTCTGGGAGGCTGAGCAAAACTGGCTGAGAAGGCGCTTAAGTCTGCAGAACGTAGTTATAGACACGAGTCAGAAGGGGAGTTGAGGGGGGGGGATTACCTTCCCTGGCTCTGATGGGCCCTTTTGGTTATCAAATCAACCAAAAAAAAACACAATAACAGCCCTTGGATTCCTGATGGGGTTCTGTTGGAACAGCATCAAGAGCCAAGAGCGTCAAGGTTTCTTTTGCTAAGGCAAGCTTTGGAATGGTCCTCCTACAGCGACTGGGCGTTGTTGCCTCACGTCTTCTATTTCCAGGGCATTCCAGAACTCTTCAAGCAGCTCATGGACATGGAGGCACGGGCGTCTTACCCGTTTTGGTGTTGTTTTTGGACGTCGGTGGAAGGTGGAAGCGGGGTTGGCCCCAGAATTCGAGAGCTGTGCAAACCTGGCTGATTCAAATCCAACCTTCACACACCAACATGCCAAGGCCAGCTTGGTGGGACTAAAACCTTGGCACTTTGGTACACCCACACATGCTTCCGGAGAACACTTTTGAGGCACTACTGTGGAATTGAGGGAACCCCCACAAATTGCAGACAACACCTTGTAACAGGCTCTAACAGGTCTTTGTTGGCCAGAAACTGCCCACCCTCCCTTCCTGAAGCTGCGGAAGACCCGAATGGAGGCCTTGCTGACGGCCTCTGCGGCCATGAAGGCTTTCAACGATGAGGAGCTGATCTTTGCAGTGGAGCACTGGCGGAAGGTCGCGCAGAGGCGGAGAAGGGGGGGTCATGGACTGCGCAGTCGTGCTGCGCTGCGACTGGAGGGCAGAAGGGCGGACTGGGGACATAGGACTTCGATGGACGGACTGGGCCGTTTCGATGTGTCACGGGCGTCAGCTTTGATGGTGGGGGGTTCTCATTGTTGGTGACTGAGAGCCCAGTCTGTGACTCTGAGATTCTGTGATGTTGGAATCTGTGATCTGTTTGCTTCCTGTTTCTGGACCTACGTTCCAGGCGGGACGAGCAGGACAAAAGCACTAGTATGCTGTTGGAAACACCCGGTGTCAGACACCAGATCATGTGTCCAACATGGTGGAAATCGATCATTTCATACAGGGATGCACCAAGGGATGCACCAAGTTGGTCGCGCACCGATATTGGGATCTTTGCCAGGCTCTTGGCAGCGGTGCACGCGTCGCCCAAACATGCTCAAAAAGCGCTGGCAGGAAGGTCTATGATCATGAAATCAGAATAACTCAGATATATGTTGCACCTACTTGTTGATTCACTGTGTGGGGTCCCTTTGGTACCTTCTCTATTCAGAATTGCTGTCGCTCTCAATCGCCATCCATCTTCCGGAAACTTCCGGTCTGGCCATGGACTTCCACCGTTTGGGACATTCTGGGACTTCGATTTCCCGGTGAGTTCGGGCAGCGTTCGCTGGGCATTTGACCCACAGGGGTGCGGTGTTGATCAGTTCTGGAAGATGTACCTTTGCAGTTCTTTGTCGATCTAAGACGATGTGTCGATTGAACATGCCAAAGATCCGCCACGAGGACTTGGGGCGTCAGAAACTGAAGACTATAGTTTGTTTTTTTGTGTGTTTATGTTTGCTTCTTTTTATATAGGGTGCCTAGTCGCCTAGTCTTGTTCTTGTTGAACTTGCATCAAAGTGTGGTAGGGATCGGTGTGCGTTTCCGCTGTGGACTATCCATTTTGGACCCGTGTACGTCCCGTTGTGTCCATCGGTCCACCAGTCCACCAGTCATGGCTCAGACGCGAAAAACATGGGGAGAAGACACGGTGCCTACAAGATAGCAGGAAAATTGCCTGGCAGAATGGATTACAAGTGATTATAGTAATACATAACAATACAACCTCTCTAATCTATATATATATAGGCTAATTCAATCTAACTCGACAGATTTGTCAAGTGAGTTTATGCCTGGTGCCCAATGGCTTGGACCAAGCACAGCACTGGACAAATATCTAGACACCGGACCTCGCACAGCTCGGTTCTCCGCTTTGGGCGAAGCGAGGTTGCCCCGTGGAAGGCGAATCTTTTCCAAGCACTGTCATCCTGTCCAGAAGAACTGAGCCGTTATGGTGCGAAAACAGGTTCTAGGTCAGGTCAGGATACTTTTCATATGTTTCATATCGCCAGGGGGGCACGTGGGAGCTCCCCCATATTTGGAGTCATACTCGCACGCAAGTCTTGTGCATTTATCGTTGCAGCCACCCCCCAAGGTCCACTGCAAACGACCCGGCCCCAACGTGTCGCTGCAGGGTACATGCAGAGAGCTGAAACCTTCCGCAGAGGCATGGCGATACCATGCGATACCCTGACGTTGCAGGGTTTGTCGAGACTGCAAGCTACCGGACAACCCACAAGAGAACGATGTTCCTTAACCGTGTTTGCTATATATAGCTACTATATAGTCGGCGTTTCGGAAAAAGGCGGCCGGAGGGTGTTCATCCATGTTCTAGTGACTATGGGGTACAAGTGTGCCACATCCCCATCCCCGGGTGTCTGATCCAAAGCAAAGCTTCAAATCTTTGGTGACCCAGAGAAGGTCAGGCGAAGGCCTTTAAGCTCTATAGGCCTTTTGAAGGGTGACATAGTGACAGAGATGGTGGCAGATAGCGAGGCTGGGCCAGCCACAATGCTCTTCGTTCTGTTATGCCTGACATCAGTTCGATGTGAATACTTTGGTCAGGTAGAACGGCCTAGGTTTGCCGGTTTACATCTAGAAGTATTGCAATGCCCCACTTCTTGCAGTGCAAAGCTTTCATACATCCCCTACTGCTTGGTGGACTTGTGCACCGACTACGCAAAGTTTCAAAGGCAGCCGTGCAACACATTGGTTTGACTAGCTGAGATTTTGGTTTAGCTGAAACAACCTTTCGCAGACCTAGGCTGCTGTTCATGACTGCTTGTCTAAAGTGTCCCTGTAAGCTCGCTTGGTGCTCTCAACGGGCGGGGCCTTGACACCGTTGCCTTCGCCTGGAGGAGGTCGTTGAAGTCGCAATCTCAGACGAGTCGCGCAGAAACGAGTCGCTCCGAGCGGGTGGCTGGGTATGTTGGATGGGTGATGGAAGAACCGGTAAAGGTTGAAACATGTTGAAACATACCCAAACATGTTTGCGATGGCAGTTATTCCGTGAATACCCAAATATTGCTTTCGGAGTCTACACTATATACAGTATAAGATGCTTTTGTGTGATGTTTGATGCAACTGGTCTCTTGCTCCAACTGTTGGAAACCTTCGACCCCTGCCACCGAGTTTGGAGGGTCTTCCCAGTCGCAAATACCACTGGACCATGTTTTTGTGATGCGTTTGTCTCCACCAAAAGCACAAACTTTCAATGAGTGCACATGTTGTTGTCCATTCGTCCCAAAAGCTCAGGATGGATGATGAGTATGAGAATGAATTTGAACCGCTGCCGGCTCAGGATCTCATGCTGCCAGACACAGCCATGGACATGTTTTGGATGCAGAATCCACCCTTGAAGTGGTTTCTTTACAGTGGTTTCAGAGTAGATGGTACAACCGCAAACATGTCTATTATATGGGGGTCCTTCTAAACCACCTTTTGGGGATTGTGACATCTACTCTGAAAGCACTGTACTTTGTTTGAGCTCTGGAGGTACCAGTTCCATTCCATTCGTTGGCCGAATCCGCGTCTTTGAACGAAGGTTGGCGCCACCGGTACGAACGAATGGGGAGACGCCCCTGGCCCAATAGTTCCACTGGTCTTTCTATTTCCCTTCTTCCAGTGTCGAGAGTTTCACTGCTCTTGATGAAGGAGACCCCTTTCTCAGTGGCAGATGAAGGATCTCCATGGATACCCCACAACAGGACTAGGGGCGATTCCCAGTTCAACAGTAGGAAGATTAAGGAAGTAGGACACGTCGACCCTCTTTGTGGTCGATTGCGACCTGGGTCTCTCCGTTTTGCGGAGGAGGCAGATCGGAGCTTGGATGATGCAGAGCTTGAGGACGCCAACCCCACCGAAGAGGCAGAGGCGGAAATGGAAGAATCACGGGAGCCTTGGATGTGCGAATCAAAGTCTTTTTCTTGATCTTTTTGGTGTGTGTGTGTGTGTCCACTCCTGTTTCCAAGGACACTACCCTAACTCTTTTCTAACCTACCCTATGACTTTTGTGACCAATGTACAACAGCAGGGGGCCACTCCACCCACCACCAGGGAGTGGCCAACGAAGAGCCTGGTGGTGTGGTGCTGAAAACGTACCTGCCATTTTAGAATTGTTTCAATCGTTTCACTTGCATTCTTGTTCAACAATACTGTTACTCGGACCCAGCATTTTTTTCAGTCAAGGTCTAACCTGCAGTAATCTTAAAGGGCTAATGCTCACCGCGAAGCAGCCTGAAATCGCGCTCCACGGAGCAACCTACTCAAGTGTGTGTACGTTGTTACTTTTTCCCAAGCTGGCCTGATGCACGGTCACAACATCTTCGAAGAAATCAGAGGTACCTGGAACGCCCACCGGCCGGCCTGGCTGCTGTTCCCCTGGCGGGTGTGATTCGCTGGAATCAATCGACACACCCTGACCTTCTCCCGATTTTAACATGGCAACAAGGCTGAAGGCTCAACAGGACATGTGTTCCTTTTCCCGGCCAATTATCCTGGACCTTCAAAGGGGTGTCCAACAGAGATCCACAAGCAGTGTCGGAAATTCCACTGAAGGCCCCTTGGAAGGTGCTGGATGTTGGTTTGGCGAGTGTAGGTGACCTTTTTGCAACAAAGACGTGACATAGACACTACGAGAAGCATTTGGGAAGATGATTTCTTGAGCGACTGGTGGTCTTCCATCTTCTATTTGAGTTGGGTGAGGCTAGGAGTGTAATCGTTGGTCTCTTTCCCAAGGAACTCCAGGCTACCACCTCAGACTGGGCAGATGCAGAGGATGCAGATGTGAATCAAGATGAGTTGCCTGGAATGACCATTGTGTGTTCCGAAGTCTTTTAGTTGGTAGTTGGTATATGATTAATTATGTTTTGCCCACTGCATATCTCCGAACTCCGTTTACTCAACATGTTTGTTGGGGGGGGTTGATTTCTGTGTCCTGGTCCTTTTTCGTGGGCCCACTATGTTGTGGGCGATGGCTCCATGGAAATGCCATCTCCGAGGCTCGAGGATTCACCACCGGGACCAGATGATCCTATTGGGCCTGACCCAGCCGAAGAGCATCCGGTTTCTCCGGGTTCTCCCGAAAGCATGGAGGAGCCACCGCCACCAAGTGCAGCAAGAAGCCACCAGGATGGTGCAACAAATGATATTCCTGCACCAGATGCAGATCAGCCAGTTGCTCCAAGTCTGGCAGCAGAGGAAGAGCAATCCTCGCCAGCAAGAACAGAACAGGATCTTGCAAGAGCAGATGATACACATGTGCCAGATGCAGAGCAGCCAGATGCTCCAGCTCAGGAAGCAGTGGAGGAGCCATCATCACCATCGAGAACAGACCATGAGAATGAACGATCAGATAACGGACCTGCGCCAGACACGCAGCATTCGGCCACTCCAAGTCAAGAAAGAATGGAGGAGACATCACCCTCCAGAACAGACCATGAGAATGAAAGACCAGATGATACACCTGTTCCAGACACAGAGCAGCCGGCTGCTTCTAATCCAGAAACAAAGGATGAGCCATCATCTCCGGCAAGAACCGACCATCAGATCCATCACAATGAAAGACCAGAGGATACACCTGTGCCAGCCTCCGCAGCTGCAGAGAGTCCCATTTCTCCAGATCAGGCCTCATCACGGGTCGAGGCACCTGCAGGATCGCGCGACCCCAAGCACGAATCCCCAGGTGAGAAAGCCAAGCAGGATGCATCGCCCAAGGCATCCGAGGTCGCACCGATCTCAGAGCCTGGACAGACTCGAAAGGCCTCCAATGGAAGGAA